AATTATTCATGTTTGCGATGAAGAGAGTTGTACTCTTGGCTTTACCGGTTGTACTTTTATCGATAATTTATCGAGCTATTATTCCCCCTCCTCCAAGAAGTTGTAGTACTGCTGGTGTTCCATCACAAACACCAAAAATCAAGCTAAGAGATGGAAGAAATTTGGTGTATAAAGAATATGGTGTACCAAAAAATATTGCAAAGTATAATGTTATATATGTTCATAGCTTTGGTGGTAGCAAATTTGAAGCTTCACTTATAATTCCGGTATGTATATATTTGAATTATTTCGAGTGTGTTTGATATGATAGAAGTCATTTACGATTTAAAAAAAAAAGTGAAAAAGAAACTATCGAATTACATTAATCATTCCTATCATATTTATTAATTTTCCTTATTATTTGAAATATTATCTCATTGATTAATAATTTCATACTAAATTTCAAGTCAGATATACATACATGCGTGTTTTTTGTTACCAGATACACTTAAATAGAGCAAGAGACGAGTGAGATTTGTCTATATAACTAGTGCGATTCACATGTATGGGGGATATAAACCAGATACGAGAGCTATATAAGAGTCTTCCAGACACAATTTCTTTTTCTCATACCAAAAATACCCTCAATTTCTTTTTTTCATACCAAAAATACCCTCAATTTTCTACATTCCAAATTAGACTAATGTTTTTTATTTTTTGGTCATAGCAAGCAATTGAAGAACTAGGGGTATATTTTGTATCATTTGATAGACCAGGTTATGGTAAAAGTGATCCTCATCCAAAGAGAAGTTTTAAAAGTTTAGCTCTTGATATTGAAGAAGTGGCTGATCAATTGGAACTTGGAAATAAATTTTATGTTATTGGATTTGCAATGGGTGCACACTTTGTTTGGGGTTGCCTAAAGTACATACCTCATAGGTAACAACAATTTTTACTATTACTAATATGTCATTTTCTTGCTATATTTGTTGATTTTTTGTGTTTTTTCGAGGTTCGATATCTGTTGTGGGGTTTGATTAGTATAGATCTTGTGTCGGAAAGTTTATCTATGAGAGATAAAGTGTGTGAATCTTATATTGTATCGATTAACCATTTTTCATGTCGAATTTTGAAAAGTAAAGGCTGTTTAAAAATTCATTAGGAAATAGCCACTTTTAAGGTGGAAACATGATATGATAATTTCATGAATTTCGAACTTAAGTAGGTGAAAAAAATCAGGTATATATTATGAATTTCGAACTTTGAAAAGTGAAACTTCCATATAATCGTCCCTTGAAATTCATTTAGAATACTGTGACGAGAGTTTCGCCTTTTTTAAATTCAAAAAATTTCATGATAATATCTTGAATTTCAAAAATTGGCTATTATTTAATAATTTTTGAATTTATAGTTATTTTTCAATTACAAGTAAAGAAAATGGCTATTTTTTTTTTTTGAATTTTGGTCACTTTGCGAAATTACAAGTAAGTCTCTTTGGTAAACTCTCATAAATATGATAGCATAAAGCAACATGTTATAACATATTAAATTATAAAATAACATGTTATAATTAAATTTCAGTGATAGCGTAAAATAAATTTTTATACTATGATCGCGTATAATAGCATACAACTTAAATCATATTTGTTATTATTTTGTAATTTCACAAGATTATCACGACTTTATTTATTCTAAATAATTTTATTTAAGTTCTATACACATATCGTCGTAACAAATGTTTACATTTTTTTTTTTTGTATACATAGATTAGCAGGAGCTGCATTATTAGCACCAGCAATTAATTATTGGTGGCCAGGATTTCCATCAAATTTAACAAAAGAAGCTTATGATAAACAATTAATTAGAGATCAATGGGTTTATAAAGTTGCATATTATGCCCCATGGCTTATGTATTGGTGGAATACACAAAAATATTTTCCTGGATTTAGTGTTATTACTGGGGAATTTAAATTATCTCAAAAGGATCTCAAAATTGCATATTCACTTGATGAGATGCAACTTCAACAGGTACATAATTCTTTCCTTTTAATTTATTTATTTTCTCCGTCTTTTATTGTTCAGGCTCTTTATAAATATCATCGGGCACATGTAACGTCCTTTTGAGCGTTATTGTCTTTTTAAGAATCTGACGCAGGAGTTTCAAGAGCATTATAGCTTTTCGTTGAGTTAATAATTTCTCAAATGATCAATCACGTTGCTTTTTTTGTCAGTATATATATAAAATCATCCAATTGCTTAACTAACCCTACCCTCCCAGAAATTATTTTAATCAAAAAATCATCTGTCTGTCAGAACTGGAAAGATGATGTGGCATGACTGGTCTCGTATCACAGTAGACTACCGATTTTCTTGAATGGTTATCCAACTTGCGATATTTACAAAAAAAAATAAAAAAATTGTGCCTCGATACAATATTTACTCGATAAAATTTAACTACTAGAAAGTAAAAATTTTCTACGGACATTTAAATTCGTAACTAATATTTACTCAATTAATTAGGGTTTGGGGTGCATTCCTTCTCATCACACATTATATAAACTATAATATTTCGTACATCAAACTGTTTATTTTTTAATTATTTTTATTATTGTAAATATAAGAATTTTGTAAATTATTTGACACTCTTTTAATTATGTGTAGGCATATGTTACACAACAAGGAGAATTTGAGTCACTTCATAGAGACCTAATCATTGGTTTTGGTAAACCAGAATTTGATCCAATGGATATGAAAAATCCTTTTAATAATAATAATAATGATGCAAATATACATTTATGGCATGGAGTTGAAGATGGAATTGTGTCTGTTAAATTACAAAATTATATTGCAAAAAAAATTCCATGGATAAATTATCATGAATTACAAGATGCTGGACACTTGTTTCCTTGTGGTGATGATAGTATAAAATATGATATATGGAAGGCACTATTAAATCATGAGGAAAAAAAATAATTTGTTGTAATTAGAGGATCTTTGGATTGTTTTTATGATTTTAATAATAATAATAATGTGAAAATGTATTTTCTTAATATTCTACTTTTTTTAGTATTTTATTTTGTGTTTGATATTTATTTTAAGATTTGATTAATTCAATTTGGTTCTCGAGATGTTCCACGTTAACTTTTGAACTCCTACGATGATACTCATCCTTAAACTCTCTTCAATTCAGTGAAAATTTGAATAATCAAGTAATTAAAGCTGCTATGTTTATTGGATTGTTATTGGTTTCAACTTCTAGACATGTTCGATATACTAGTTGGAAATTCGAAACTCGTAGGGTCATTTCAACACAAACTCCATTGATGAGTTGTGTAATCATGTGATGATTGAGATTTTTTTATTTTTTATTAGAGTTTCGAACTCGAACTTTAGGAATGCAAAAGGGTCTATTTATATATTGTTATAAATAAAATAATTTTTTTTTTATGAATGATATTACAAAAAGAAAAAAGAAAGAAAGATTGTTGCTCTTAAAAAAATAGACAAAAATCATTTTGGGACCAATAAAGATTCCAATTTTACATGCAAAAAAGACAAAATCATGTATATTAAAATAAGATAATAGATCTTTTTATGGATCGAATATCAAGAAAAATAAAGCATATAACATCAAAGAATATCAGGTACAAAATCAGTCAAATATTTAATTAGGTTTGTTTGAGTGGGTGGGGTTAATTTAAGTGTCAAGTAGCATCATTTCAATTTTTTAAAAAAAATTAAATAGATATATATTAGTCATTTATATAACGATAGGTGTATATATGAGTTATTTTATTAAATGAGCAGTATGTCAAATTCAAATCACAAAGTTCAAGGATAAATTAAATCATATTCCATTTATTTATGATATAGAAAAGAATCAAAATTGCTTCTAAACTATGTGAAACAGACCAATGCCCCTACTGTTAGAATCTCTCTCTCTATATAAAACATTTATAAATTTAAAATTCAAATTTCATATCGAAATTCGACTAATTAATTCGTGTTGCCATGAAATTAATATATTTGCTATGGGAAATCTTATTCTAAAAGAAAATGAAAAAAATTTATCTGACCTAGAGCATCTGTTTGTTCCCATTGGAGCATTTATTTGTTTTCTTACATTAGTATTATATGATACTTTCTTTTATTATTACGCTTTTCGTCTCATTTTATACGACATTTTCGCATTTAAATAAATCTATTTTTGATTATAAGCTTTTCATAGATTATTTTAACATTTTGAATTATCAATTATTGTGACTTATAGTATTCTTTACATAGTTTCTAAATATATACATTTCATTTAATTTTTTTTTGAAGATTTCATACGCAAATATCCTGTCAAAGTTAAACTATTTGACTCTCGAGAAACGAAAAATATCACATAAAATGGAATAGAAGAAATATTACATTTTATTTATTTTGGTTGATGTTTGTACTGTTAGCATTTTTCTTTTATTTCTTTAATATATTTATTACAGTGGTTTACTCTGGTATTTTCTTCATCATTATTTGAAAAAATGATTTTTTTTTAACCGTGGGTCTATTATTCCACAAAAGTAGGATGAAGTCTATATGCATCTTATCCATTTCGAACTCTATTTGTGAAATTATATTGTCGTAGGTTAGCTTTAGTTTTAACTGGTTATTATTTGCAATTTTTTCTTTTCTAACAATAGATGATGCATATGGTTCATTACTCAAATATTTTTTTTAAAAGGAGATAATATAATGTTATCGATTATGAGTGTAAATTTATTTTTACGCATCATTAAAATAACTGAGAAGAAAATTTATACACTCTTTATCATAGCCATTATTCCACGGTTTGAAAAAAGGGTCAAGTTCAAGATCACTCGTTTTCAAGCGCTATTATTGTAAATCACCCCTTAAATTGGCTATTATGTGCAAACTCTTCCTCAAAAAGGCCCAAAAAGATCAAAGTCACGTGCGATGTAACCCGTAGGCCCACATAGATCACGTGACCATGACAGCTCCTTTGGTTCTTGACTTTCTTCCACTTGTTTGCCACTGCCACAGTTTTAGTTTTTAACAAAAAAAACCTCTTTTTCTGTATTGGAATTTATTCAGAGATCCATAAAAGAGAAGTTTTGTTTGAGGAATAGCTGAAAAGTTCAATCTTTGATTCAAAGTTCAGATTTTTAAATCATTTTTGTAAGTTTTCTTTAATCTTTCTCTGTTTTTTTTTGCTGATTGTTTTGGTGATTAATTTGTGGATTTGTATGATTTAGTTGATCTATGGTTGTGGGGTTGTTTGTTTTTGTTGATTTTTTTAATGGGTGTTTGATTCTTGGATCAAAGTTACTTTTTTGTGTGCTTTTAATTTTTTTTGGTTATGGCTCTTTTGTTAGTGTTTTTTCTGTTGTTTGACTGGTAGAGACAGATCTGGGATTTAAATGAATGTGTTAACAAATAATGGTAGTCTAGAGACCTCGACGAGGTAGGGTAACGTCTGTGCACAGTCTATTCGTCCCGGGAGACCCCACTTGTGGATTACACTGATTATGTTGTTGTTTTGTAAAGAATAATGTTACATTGCCCGCGGCGCTTATGAGTATGAGTTGTCCTTCATCAGTGGTTGTGAATGACTGATTTTTTCAATCTTTTCGACCTTGGTTTCGCAAGAGCAAGTTGGAAAGATTTAGAAATAGAACCATTTGATTTCATTTGTTTACGATAGCCATGTGATGATCATCTTACGGTGATCTTTTTGTAGTTGTAGGCGAAAACGTAGGATTTGGAGTCGAACAGGGAATTGGAGGTAGTAGTAGTGTTTGGACATGAAGTCACTGTTAAAGTTTGTTTTTTTTAGTGAAACTTCAAGTATAAAGTTGAAGTAATGAGAGTTAATTTAGTAAAGGAGCACTTACATGAAATAATCTCCAAATGTTTGAATACCATCAATAGCGAAAGGGGTTAGAGTCCTACATTTGTTGTGAGGATAAAGGTTCTGGTCTCTTTTTACAGTCTTGCTTTATATGGTCTTGAATAATTAAGATTGAGTTAGGTTCGACGTCTATTTTTGTTAACATGCTATGAGACTCATCCTTGGTATAATACCAATGGTATTGGATCGCCCATTGTTGGACCCCATGTTAAACTATCCATGCTCAAGATGTCCAACTTTGGACGTACGAGGCTTGTTATGGTCTAATATCGGTTGTGACAGTATGGACTGTAGTATCTTTAAATGGTCTTGGATAATCCTCGCATCTTGACCTAATTTTTGGAGTTGAGTCAGGTTCAAAATCTTTTTTCTTGACTGTGTGCGTATGGAGTTCATTGAGGTCCAAGGTTTATTTTTCTTAATAGCATGTGTATGTACGAAGGAATGAGTGTGTCCGCACGCTGTCCCTTAGTAGACCAGCCTATGCAGTGACGGCAAAAGCTTGATAGATTATAACCTCCTTGCTGTGCTGACAATTTCGTGTATTCTATGCAAGTCTGATTCTGCGAAATTTACGAAGCAGGCAGTAGGGTATCCCATTCACATTACAAATTAGTGTGCTTTATCTCAAGTAAAGTATGAAACTAAATATACTCTTTACTGTTATCATTCTCAAAACTAGTACCTTTTTTCCTCCTTGATTCCTTTGAAAATGTAGGTACAAATCGTTTGGTTCTGTTGGGTTCTGACCACTTAGTAATATGCTATTATCATCTCCATCGGCTCAGTATTTAAGAAACCAAACTCAAACGTCATCTTGCAACCCAAACTTGTGAAAACTAAGCTTTTGGGGCTTTACTGCTGGCATTCTGTGCATGACGTATCCCGGGGATATTTCGTTACTAATGACATTCAAGACTTGCTGGTTCATGACTACTAATACATACGTAATCTATAGAATTTGGGGAACGGAATGACATAAAAAGAATGTTATGCACCCTCTTCTATTCTTATACTGTCTCTGCGTGATTTTGAAAACTATCGATTAGATGTGACCTAGTAAAGGAGTTTGATAACCATCTTCTAGACTTTTTATTCATCTGCATCCACACAACAGATGCTTGTTTGTATTTAGTCGAAAGATTGGTTACATTAGAGTTTATGATGTTGACAGATTAATTTACCTCAATCCTACGTAGGTGCAGGTATGTCGACGGTAAGCATTCCTTCGGGTTCATTGCTACCATCAATTAGATCCTCTGCCTTTACCAAGTCCCAAGTCTCTTTAGGTTCTGTTAAGAGTATTTCTAAAGCGTTTGGCTTGAAGTTGTCGTCCTCCTTCAAAGTCTCTGCAATGGCAACATACAAGGTGAAGCTGGTTGACCGTGATGGTAAAGAGAGTGAAATTGAAGTCGCCGATGATGAATACATCCTCGATAAAGCAGAAGAAGCTGGAGTGGAGCTGCCTTACTCATGCAGGGCTGGGTCTTGCTGTACCTGTGCTGGCCAGTTGGTTTCCGGAACAGTTGACCAATCCGAAGGTGCATTCCTCGACGATGAACAAATGGAGAAGGGTTATTTGCTGACTTGTATTTCATACCCGAAATCCGACTGTGTTATTCACACACACAAGGAAGAAGACGTCGTTTAATAATGTTCGAGTTCATTCCTCTTCGAGGGACCTTGAAGATCGAGGGCGATACAAATCTTGTGCCGTGGACGCGGATTACAAAAATAAATTAACATGGTGATGTTTTGTGTCTGGTTTATGGCATAACTCTTGTTGCAATTTGTTCAAGTATTTGGCAAACACCATATTGCTCTCTAAACTATTGTCCATTTGAAAAACTATTGAAGTTTGGCTCATCTATGTCGTTGCTGTTATAATTTTGGCTCAAAATTTACCTTAGTCATTGATGCCGGTGGGCAAAGCTAGACGATAAGTCAATCGCAAAATTGACTTATCGACTTATTGATATTGCATTATCTGATTAATGGTTGGTGAATGGATTATACTTTATAGTTAACGGTTTATTAGTGCGGGGGTGTATAACTCAATTTCCTTATTGGGTGAATTGTTAACCGGTTCAAAATTATCGTAGTTACATTTAGATCGGAGATCAATATATATTGGTGAGTGAAAATGAAAAAGGAAGCATGCAATTGAACCAATTCACCATCCATTAATTAGTAATTGGATATTCAACCAAGCAATAGCTTATTGATCGGCTAGTGGATTAGTATATTATAAAACCAATATATATATACAATAGGTCAAATCGTTAAAGCATAATTATCTTGATCCATCCAATCAACAACCCTAGTGGATTAGTATATTATAAAATCAATATATATATATACAATAAATCAAATCGTTAAGCGTAATTATCTTGATCCATCCAATCAACAACCCTACTATTAATATCTGAATTCTGAAGTATTGGTGAATAAGAACTTTTTTATTTGAAACAGACTCTCTACCTCTGAGGTAGCGGGTTAGTGTAAATACACTCTACCTTCTTCAGATTTCATTTTGACACTCTTTTACGGAAAAAAAAAAAATTTACGTGTATTCTCTCCTCTTCAAACTTCACTTATGAGATTACATAAAAATGTCATTGTTATTCTAACTTTTATCAAACTAAAATGGAGTTGTTTTAATTTGTATTACTTAATTAACAACCAAAACCAAGTCACATCCAACATGGCTTATAATATAATCTTTCACCTACTAAGAAACTAAGCATCTTTCATAAGAAAACAACTAAATACATTTATAAAATTTCAACTAAATATTTTTCAAACATAAATAATTATATCATCTCTATCATAATTTTTTTAAAAAAAGTACAATTTTAAAAAATTCAACATACCAAAAACTAGTATAAAAATTTATTACTCTGACCATCGACGAGTCGTCGATCGCTTCAGTTCTGCTGAGCCGAACCCGGACCCAGACCTATCCGGTTCAGCAGTCTGTACACCGGCCCCACCTTTTTCTCCGGACCGGATTTTCAAAGCCGCCCTAACTTTTTTCCAAAACCCGGTTCTTATAGTCCTACTCTCTTTCTTTGACTTGGACCGGCGAACCCGTCCGGTACAAGACACTTTTGGTGAACCCGGTTCAGACACCAACACTGTTTTTCTTCCCGGTTCAGACCGGCTTCTACTGAACCGGGATTTCAATTTCGATTTCACCGCCTTGTTGATTCGCCCGGGATTTCCATCCCCCGAGGTAGATTTTCGAGTCTTGGGAATGGAGAAAAGCGATGGATTTTGATTATTATGTAATAATATTTTGGAATTTTTGTTATTTGCTTTGCCAGAAAATGCAAATTTCATTGATGATTTTCTTTGCATGGCTGCATTTTGATCAAACCAATCTCTTTCTGAATCTTTAGAAAGCCAAAATGACTCAGGTGGATCATGATAACAAAAATTCTCATATTCATGTTGTTGATTTTGAATGTTTGTTTGATCATCATGAGGTTGTAGAGACATAGCACTTTAATTTTGAGTGCTATTTCGCGTACAACCTCTTTTTCTAGAAACACTCTAATCGAGGAAAAAGTCTGACGTTTACAATCTCTTTTTACACTTCTGCTGACACTATGCCCCAGAAGGAGTAGTACTGCTGGTGCTGGTGCTGATGCTGATGCTGATGATCTTATGTACGATCTCTTTTACTTGACATGTATGGAACACTAAAATTTCACGTATAACCTTCTTTCTATCAAAGGTTCCCAAAAGACTGGGATCAAATATGAAAAATACTGAACAGGAAAGGAAAACAATAACGTTAAGATTTGGTGACTTTTCGAGGTGTGTACTCCTTTTACATGAAAAATATTGTTGGGATTTCAAGAACTTGAAATATAGAAGAAAGAAAGCTTTTTTCTTTTTATGAGAAAAAAAAAATTTTAGTCTTTGCAAATAAATTTTTGAATGTGTTGTATGAGAGGAAAAGATGTATAAAAAGTAAGATTATATATATAAAATGAAGAAGGAGGTAGGAGAAGACTTTTTTTCAAAGTAGGTAGGTGAAGGAAAAGAATAAGAAGGTCTTTTAATTCCCATATGGTATTTAATTAGCAAGAAATGATATATCATGATTTTGGAGGTTTGCAAGGCCAAATGAGGTTTTGGATGAAGCAAAAATTTTGGTCAAAAAATATATCTCAACTATTATTTTTTTTGGTTAGTTGTTACGTTTCAATTATCAGTTGTTCTCTTTCTTAGTTAAATCATCACGCGAAGATGGAAGGTAATAGTTCATATAATAATAAAAACAACTGATAGTTGAATTGATCGATTTTAAAGTGTGTATTCATACTTTTGACTTTTAATTTTGTGAAAATATAATAATTTAGATGTGTTTTTTTACTATTATTTCGAATATAAATGTTTAATTGAGTACTTTTTTTTTCCATATTGTATGATCTCTTTCGACTACACGAAATTTAGTTGATTTTTTTAAAAAACTTTTAAATCATAATCATAATTATTCAATCATTTTTGTTTAGACTCTGTATGTTAAAAAAAAAATCATTAATGAATCATGTATTAACTTTGAAATTATGTATAGACTTATGAACTTTAGATTTCAAATCAGTCTCGCAGAGATTTATGTTGTCTGAATCTTTCAAAAATGTATTGTACATATTAAATTCTTTAAAAATAATATATTTTTGAAAAATCTAATATATATATGACAATAATTTTAAAAAATCAACAATATTTTTGAAAAATCGAAATCGTATTTAGTTTCGAAAATGACATGTTTGACTGTTTGTTGCCATCCAATCATGCATGTATTATGGAGGTCTTTGCAAAAAGGTGGCTGCATGTTTAATAAGACTCACTATTCTATTTGTTTAACAACCTTTTTTTTTGGTCCATTAATATTTATTTAAGGATTAATTAAATTATAAAGTGGTCAAATGAAAATGAAAAAATATTTTTATTTTTGATTTTGGTGCTAGCTGTATATTAATTTAGGGATAGTGTGGAAAAAGTGGTTACATTTTTAAAAAAAAAAATATTTAACCATAACCATAGTGTATTAGGTATTTAGGAAGAGGAATATATCTACTTTCATTTGATTAACGATAAATATTTTTGTGTTATTAAAAAATAAACGAAGAGGAATATATCTACTTTCATTTGATTAACGATAAATATTTTTGTGTTATTAAAAAATAAACGATAATGTTTATGATTTTTAATTTAGATATCAAATAATTATATTCATCAAGATTTAGATAAATAAAAAAAAATTATGTGATTTTTATCTCGACGATGACAAATTTTGAACATGTGATTATATATATCATTATCCTACTACGTAAATATTATGTATCTTCTTGTAGATATATAAATTATAGACAACTCAAATGAACTAAAGTTTGTGCTATGTATGAAGTTCTGAGTTTATTGTACACCATCTTACTATGCGTTTGTATAAGATTGAGGTCTTTTTGAGTCCATATTGAAGTTCCTTCTGAATTCGAATCGTGCATTGTAGGAGGTGACGTTTTCAACAAGATTTGTCCATGTCAGTGCTTGAATTCAAAATCTGAAGCAATCTCAGCGTTGGTTAAGATTGAGGTTGTTGCCACAACCGATCCACATGACAAGAACTTTACCAATCACGATAAGACTCTTTATGTTCTAAAATTTGAAATCCCAAATTCTCCAATAATTAGTAGCACTTTATTTATATTTAATGTCTAGAGTAGTATTTAAGTTTATTTTTTCTCTATAATGAACAAATATAAATTAATTATGTTTAATATACAAGGATCAAGTAAAATGAAACGACGAAAGTTATAAAAATTTATAATTTGGTCCCTTTAGTTATAAGACTAGTTAACAAAAGACCTTTAAACCTTTTTAGGGGTTTATTTACAGCACAAGCAGCCGCTGAGCATCGGAAAAATTTTCATCTCCTCCATTGTTTCTCTCTCAAAAGACAAGAAGAGGAAGAAAAGATGAGCAGATCAGGTCAGCCTCCAGATCTCAAAAAGTAAGTTTTTACAAATTTGTTTTAAAAATTTTCTAATAATTTTTTGTTCAGAAATTAGTTTCTTACTTTTGATTTTGTGTTTTTTTTTTCTTTGTTTGTTTGGTTAGGTATATGGACAAGCAGCTTCAAAGTAAGTTAAAAAGCCCCTTTTGTCTTGATTTTGATTTTGTTTTTGTGTTATTGCTAGTGGGTATTGCTTAAAAATGCAATCTTTATAATAAAGTTGTGAACTTTGTGTGAATGTTTAGTTGATTCTTGTTTGCAACTTGATTAGAGTTTAAGGGATTTAACTTTTACTTGTTTTGTTACGCGGGATAAGGCCTAAATTAAGTTCGGGATAAAATTTATATTGTGTTTGGTTGATTGACTTATTTGATTTGCATGTGTTAAGCATATTACGTTGCATTATATTCGGTTTACTTACAATTTAATTCAAGACATTGTTTATATACCGAAGAAATGTAGTTCTGAGTTCTATTTTAAGGAACCAAAGAAGACAGGTGGTAACCGTGCTTTCACAAGAGTGTTTTGATTCTCATCGTCATGATATGTTGTTGTAGTTAGTGGATGGTTGATAAACACGTAGCAGGCAATGGATACTGTACTTGCCTGCAGTTGGTAGGTTGAATACCTATACCGTCAACCAAATGCAGTATAAGCTTTATCACAAGCTTAATCAATGGATATCCCACCTTATCTCATCCAACTTGGGATTATTTTATCCCGTTTCCCAAGTGGGATAAATTAGTGTAGGGATTATAATCTCAGGATCATTTAGTCTTCGTATCAAACGTCCCCGTTTTAGGGATATTGGGTACAGTTAAAGGTCTAGGTCATAGAAGAGCAATTATGGCTTGTGTATACTCTTGCATTATAATTACTGCTAGTGGTACGGACTACTGTGTGTTCATTTAAATAATCTAAATTTCATGAATGTAATTATGTCTTTTGAACTTTGTGTGACTGCTCACGTTTAGGATTTAAGTTTTTAGGCATATAAGACCACTTACGGTTTAAGTACACTCTTGTGTTTATGCATTTTTTATTTTCAAAGTTTCTGCAGAGTTTTGCACTTCATCACCAGGGTACCCTAATTTGTCTTAAAAGATTATAAGAGTATAGGAATGAAACAGCTCCAAACTAAACATAATGGATATTGTGGATTCAAATAGCTAACCTAAACTCGTTTGGATTTAGGTGTAGCTGTTATTTGTTTTGTCCATAGCTATCGAGACTGTGAAACCTTTCTCCTCCTTTTAACATCACGCTTCTGCGGTTGTATGATAAGTGCTGATTCTGCATTTCAAAAACATTGGATATATTGACATCAGATTCGCTTAAATTTCTCAAAGAATGTGCCTAGTTTTGCATAGTGTGGAATTATGATCTACTCTGCCGCTAACAGATAACAATTCTTATTATTGTATTTTTTTGTTGCGCTCTCGACATGTCAAAAGTAATGCTTTACTCTTTGCATTTTTAATAAACTTGCATTTTGAAGTGGTTTACTGCCCACCATTATTTTGACTCCTCGTTCAGGGCTCACCATATAGACTTTGATGAAAGTAATTGGAAACAAAAGTTAAGCTATCTTAACAACAAAATACCCGATGTAATCCCACAAGCTGGGGAGGGTAGAATGTGCACATGCCTTACCTCTATTTTGAGAGGTGGAGAGGCTATTTCTGATAGACCCTCGGTTCAAAGTAGCTGGAATACTAATTTTGTTATCTTAACTTGTAGGAATTTTATATAATCGGTATACGAAGTTTCAGCATGTGTACAGTTTTAAGGATCAATGTTCATTGTTCTGAATCATATAGCCTGCTCTATTATAGTCAGTTTCCGTCATGGGGTTGATTTTCAGAATTAAGTAACGTGGTATACCTTTTGCAGTCAAGTTGAATGCCAACCGCCAAGTTGTAGGGACTCTTCGTGGGTTCGATCAGTTCATGAATTTGGTTATCGACAATACTGTTGAGGTCAATGGAAACGATAAGAATGAGATTGGCATGGTGGTAAGTCTTTCATACTCTTTTTTACTCCCTTCCTCCCCCCGTTTATAAATTTTACTTCGTTTACACCTTATGATACATAATCAATTCTATTCATTGATGAAAATTCTGTTTCCTCATATTACATAGCGCTTAGTTAGCTCAAAAACTCATTCGTCGTAGAAATGCCATAACTATAGCGGTAACTAACTTGTCACTTGGTGGTGATTGATGTTGCAGGTAATTCGGGGTAATAGCGTGGTGACAATTGAAGCTCTGGAACCGGTTGCCAGACCACAGTAATACGAACGAAGCTCTGATTGTTCAAGGATCTTTATCTATGTTCAAGATATTTACTACTCTTATCGAACCTAAGTGAAATTATGTATTGTACCTGAATTAAACTAGCTTATCTTTGATTTCTCTGTTGATTCTGAAAATGAAAAGATCATCGATATCTCTGTTCATCTTGAGCTCATGTTCACAATTTCATCTGGTGAGTTTTGTATACAATGACAATGTCGGGACATGAGTGATTGTTCATGAGCTAACCTATTGAACGTCTTCTTATGGTACCTTGCTTCGACCTGAACTATGCAACAATGAGATTTTCCTTGGATTCTATTCATGTGTGCTTGACAAACCCTATTAAACGAGCACTTTGAGTGACTTCTAGTCGTTCCAAGAGTCTCCGTTAGTTGAATTGCGTTTGCATTATGTATATACCACTACCAAAACATCAACGCGATTACAATATATGAGTCTGAGAAGAGAATATATACATATACTTTATTCATATCTTTTTAAAGTCTCGATGTAAATTAACTAAAATGTCTCAATCGCGAAACAAGATCACTAGCTAAATAAATATTTTGAAATTAGAACTTATAAATGCAAACGCAAAAATTTCGTTGATTTTTAATAATGTGGAGTGATATAATCCAAATGTATCAAAAATGGCTAAAACTTAAATAGTTTTGAAATACTAGCTAAAACGTGATTAATAGTTCAAAGTCTGGCTATTTGTCTAATTTTTAGTATATTACCATCTTATCCATAACCCGAAAACCCGGTCAAAAACTGGACCCCACTTCACTATTCCCTATAAATACCAAAATGCCAATCACGTTTAAGGCAATTTCATTACTGTAAAATTTCCACTCAGCCAAAAAAAAAAATGGCGATGAGATCTGTCGTTTCATTCAGTGGACTCCGTCGTTTAACGAAAGGAGCTAATGTAGCTCTCCGATCATCGGTTACCGGCCTCCGACACTTCAGTGACGGAAAAATCCTCGGCGAAGAAGAACGTGCTCAAGAGAACATTTACATTCAGGTTTTCATGATTTTTTTGATTTTCTTTTTTATTTTTGTTTTATATTTCTGGAATTTATGTTCTAATTATTGTTGTTTAATAATATTTGAATGGATTGTGATTGAATATAGTGAAATTGATCTGAGTTTTGTCGGATCTAAAATTTCATAGATTGTATCATTTTCAGCTCTTATAGTTCTACGTACTGCATATATATGTGTATGTAATATGTGTAAAATTGACATACACACATATGTGTATTGTGTATAAGATAATTTCGATGAATAATAGGCGGATGTAATGATTCTCTGATTGAATTCCCTAATTTCAGCTCTTATTGTTCTAAGTACCGCATATATGTGTATGTAATTTGTGTGTAATGGACACATAAACTAAATATATGTGTGTTGTATTATGACGAATAATAGGCGGATGTTATGATTCTCTGATTGAATTCCTATTTTCAGCTCATGCGTGTGCATATGTACGTGTAGAAAAAATTATGTAAATGATAGATTGTACCAATTTCAAACACATCAGCTCCAAGTTTTACATGTATGTATAGAAACACATATGTATATTTTTTTGTTATTCTAATGGATTGTGATCGAATAGAGTGAAATGGACATTTTGATGATTTATACATTTGATCCAAAAATAGTCTGATGTGCGCGTGCATATGTATGTGTATAATCATGAGTGTGTAAATTTTTTAAAGTAAATAACATATTGTATCAAGTCGAAACCAATTAGCTCTAAGTTCTGCTTGTGTATATTACGTTCAGACAAAAACACATGTATATTACGTGTGTATACTGTATACAATAGTTACTGTAGGTTATAGATTTTACCAGTTCCAAACACATTAATTCTAAGTTTTGAATTGCATTGGCTTGGAGTAGTTGGAACTGGGGCAAATTCAATTGACATGTTCTCCTTTTGATATATGCTGTAAGTTTTGTGCTAGTGCATTCATGTGTTTATTGTTATTTAATATTTGAAATGAGTACTAAAATATAGTGAAAATGGAGACTGATTTGATTTATACATTTGATCTGAAAATAGGTAGATCTAAATGGATTTCTATAGATAATATATTGTACCAATTCCAAATCGTAGAGCTCTAAGTTCTGCATATATGTAATAAGTATATTATGTGCACACACAGTCGCTTACTGTAATTTATCTGTAAAATAATTACCACGAATAACAGATTGTATTGATTCGAAACCTTAATTTTGAATTACATTGACTCCAAATAGTTGGGATTGGAGTGAATTGGATTGATGTGTTCTCTTTTTGATACATGATATAAGGTTGTGCTATCATTCATGCGTTTTGGTTTTCAATTTTGTGAGTAGAAAATGGAAAGGGAGAGGTTGGAGAAGGCAAAGCAGAAGGCAGAGCGAGAGAAAGCTGAGAAAGAGAAGGCCGATAAGGTTTGGATCCTTTTTTTTTTCTTGTTCTATATGATTAGTCATACATAAACTGGCGATTTGTATTCTATTATGTTGCTTTTGGTACTATTTGACAGTGGAAAAAGGCAAATTATTCTTAAAAGAAAAATGCATATCCTAGTTCTCATAGGACGAGAACTCTCTTAGGATGTTGGAAATCAATTTCCCTCCTTTAGTGATAAAGCAACAAGAAGATCACCAGCTCCATTTGATATACATCTGTTTGGATGTCTAATCTTTAGCTTTATTAGATATTGAACTGGGAAATTGGTTATTTTGATAAGGCATCCGATTTCTACTCCGTTAGACTTTCTTCCAACAGCTTGTAAACAATATATTACCCTTTTCTATCAACGATACCACCATAGTCCACATCCGCCTTCCATTACCTTTATAAATCATTAAGCTAAATATCCAATCAAAACAAGAGCAGCTAAAAATGATTCCTGTCTTCTCGGTTAAACATTCACGAAGCTTTTGAGGAAGACAATTGCATGTAATAGCAAAAAAGAGAGCCATTTTACATTTTCACATTGCTCTACTACTCTTTCTTAAATTCTCATTGCGAAATCTTTCAACTAGGTGTAGTATGGATGGGAATTGTGTATACTTGGTCTAACCACCTATCTCAAAGTTTAAACCATTTTAATAAACCTTAGGTATGACAAATGGACATCGGTTATGTTCTCTGAAATCCATATTCGCAAGTATTTTAGACCTAATATTCTTATTGTAGTCAGTAAACACCTATGCGTCTTCTTCTGCATTAGAATTTGCCAAGTTAAGCTTTGAATCTTTTACGAAGTTCTAGCATCCAATTCTATTCATACTTTTTGAATGCCAACAGGTTTTAAAGTTGATAGCATTACTTTATTTTTACTGTTCTCAGCACATTGCCCTCCCATATGATACTTCCATATTAACCAGTCTAATTTTTAGTTGGTACGTGTGGATTGATGATCTTCCTGCCTAGATCTTCTTTTGAATTCTTAAATATATACGTTTTTTTGAGATTATACTGTACACGTTTTCTCAACCCGTCGTTTCTTTTCTTTAAGCAGAAGGCTGGAGAAGGGGCTAACAAGAGCTGAACTGACATCTCAAACTCTTCCTTTCAAGTTACCTTTGACAAATAAATGGATAATAACTTTGTGTTGTTGCTCTTCATCCTTGAATTTTTGAGCCTGTAAAACACATTTGGTTCGAGAATCAAACATCATCTTGTTTGAACCAGTTTGATTCTGTTGGCACTGCATTTTTTTGTAGTTTTTATCGCATGGTGAAACATAATGTAAACTCGTTGCTTGTGATCAAGTCATTCGTGTCAAAGCAATGAAAATGTTTGAAATAATTTCAATGTGCAGAAACAGGTCTCGCCTAGCATGAATGAACAGATTAGTTGGGCTGGTGAGTTTCGGATATCGAAAAACTAGCACAAAACCAAAAAGACAAAACTACCAGAAACACACAAACTACTAAACAAATACATTATGGCTAGAAACGTTTAACAATATTATGTTCTTCAACCATTTTGCCAACAATTTCATCTTGAGAAAAAAGACCAAAGATCGATCTTTAAGCTCCTGGATTCACTAACTAAAATCAACTGTCAACTAGAAAGTACAATAAACTTTACAAGTTCGAGCATTTGATTGCAGGTGGTTCGTCTATGTACAGGTATGATTGTTCTTTTTTGTTTCCAGCTACATCGCGAAGTTGAAATTTTGACTGCCACTTTGGTTTTGAAAGCTGCTTTGAGGAGGCACTGGGTTGGTATCCACTGCAGTTGTAATATCATGGATGCTTGACCTTTTCCGTTCTTTCTTCATTGCCTGTTGTCTAATGAAGTATTTTTGAGCATGACTAGCCACTTGTGTTGGTGTCCTTGATACCACTACGTTTCTTGAAATGCTTCTCCAGTCACCCTTCCCGTATTTGTCCAGCCCGATAAGGAATAACCTATGAAAGAATATTAGGATTTTGAGTCTCATAACAGCCACAGATCAGCAACAATCGGTTATAAACACCAACAATAACCATGCCTCAAATAAGAGCTATAAAACAGCAATGTCAGTCACACAATTAAGTATAACAACTCTAGTTATCTAATTATGTTTATACAAGGCAGCTATGAGGACTCTAAAAAATGTTTGCACACCCATGTCAGATCCTCCAAAAATGCGTCTTCATTTTTGAAGAGTCCGAGCAATGAAGTTTATAAGTACTCTAGTGATACGAGCCCCCGACCCTCTAATGGCAGGGACAAGATTAACAACTACTCTTCAATCCCGAGCAAGTTAAAATGGTTAATTTATTCTCGCGAACCATGAAAACTGAACATGTCTATTAAAATGGTTAATTTATTCTCGCGAAGATCAAGAGGCCATCTGTCTCAATCTACAAAAAATAGTCCCCACCACCCTCATGGCCAAAAACTTCCATGCTGCTGCGCGAATGATAGCTTCGAGTGTGGGTATAAAGAAGGGACAAAACAACCGTATATAGGATGGATTACACAACTGAGAAGGAAAATTCAAGTTGCATCAGCTAACAAGTTCAGAAATCAAAAGAAAATATAATTCTCGAATAGGACTACTCTTAAGCAGATAGTTTTCTAAGCTTTTTGGCTAAAGATAAAAAGTAGAGGATTGTTACACTTAGACACTCTAAAAATGTTGCCGCACACGTGTCGGATCCTTCAAAACAGCACTACCTTTGACGGACACAAAAAGCATTCATCTAACTTTTTTGAACCGTCCAAGCAACACAGCATTTTTCCTTCTTTTTCTCTTTTGATGGGTAAAGAAGAGTCCTTTTTCCACTAAAGAAAGCAGAAACAAATGCTTAAATTGAAATCAAAGGAGACTCATTTCCAAGCCAAAAACTCCACCATTAACAAAAAGAGTCTTGCTGTCCCACTGATCAAAGCAGTAAGAAATCAGAAGAGACTCAATTTCTTAGCCATAATAAACAAAGAAATAAGTAAGAGAAGAATTAGCCAAAATACTGTTACTCTATATTCACTGACATTCTCAGAAATAATAACTGATAAATAAAAAAAGGTGATAAACAAAACCGATAACCCAAAATCACCTTAAAAGATAGATATAATCCGCTAAGATTGTTTAATTGCATTCCCATATTATCCAATTTAACTTATAAACTTAAAAATCTTGAACCCGACTCTGGATGAAGAGGATTACTCATAGGCAGTTCATTGGAAAAGAAAAAGGTACCTTTTTCCTGTTTTTTTTCATTTAATGAGTTAAAAAAGAGTCTTTTTTCCTCACTGATCGAAGCAGAAAGGAAAATGCTGAAATTGAAACAAAAATAGACTCATCTCCGAGCCAACAAACTCACCATTAAGATTAGGTGATTTCTTCCTATCTGTTCTAGCTAGCTTTGGTGGATAGAATTACCTAATACTTGTTGCTAGTGATGTGACGTTACAAGCAAGCTAGCCTAGACACCATGGTTAGCAAAAAAGGTAGTACCTTTTTTCTGATATTTTTCTTTTAAAGAGTAAAAATGAGTCCTTTTTTCCTCACTGACCAAAGCAGAAAGGAAATTGCTGAAATTGAAACAAAAATAGAAACATTTTCGAGCCAGAAAACTTCACCATTAAAACTAGGTCATTTCTTCCCATCTACTCTAACCACGACCAAAAGAGTTACCGGATACTTGTTGTTGGCGTGACTGTCAGGTATCCCATGGAATTAGCCCAGGTATAGACAAACAAGCCTCGACACCACAGTTATATAAAAAAATTATCTTTTTTTTCCTGACTTTTTTCTTTTCATGACTAGAAAAGAGTCCTTTTTACTCACTGATCAAAGCAAAAAGGAAATACAGTTATTGACACAAAAATAGACTTATTTCCAAGCCAGCAAACTCCACCATTAACACTAATGAGTCAGCTTGCATGAACATCGTATCTCGCTAGCAACAAGTATCATGTAACTTTGTTCATCGAGTATAGAAGGGGAATATAGAAGGGGAAAAGATCATAGACAAACAAGCCTCGACACCACAGTTATAAAAAAAATACCCTTTTTTTCCTGACTTTTTTCTTTTCATCACTAGAAAAGAGTCCTTTTTACTCACTGATCAAAGCAAAAAGGAAATACTGTTATTGACACAAAGTTAGACTTATTTCCAAGCTAGCAAACTCCACCATTAACACTACATGATCTTTTCCCCTTCTATACTCTGATGAACAAAGTTACATGATACTTGTTGCTAGCGAGATACGACGTACATGCAAGCTGACTCAGACACCACAAACAACAACAACAACAACAACATGATACCTAGTGAAATCCCACTAAGTGAGGAAGCTGGCTCGAACACCACGATTAATTAAAAAAAAGTTATTCTATATTCAGCCACATTTTCAGAAATGATAAAAACACACATCTGAATAGGTGATAAACAAAACCCATATTACCAAATTCAACATAGACACTAATTTTCACCTGATAAATAAATAATTAAACCAAAAATAAAAAAAAATTAATAGCAAAATGGTACCTGTGTTCATCTTCAGTCCATGGTGTACCCTTTTTCCTCTCAATTTCATTACTCTTCTTGTTTGACCCCGATGTAATCTGACAATCGCCTTCCAATTCAACCGGATCATCCGTATAGCTCGGTAGATCAATCCGACCCGAATCAATTTCATATACATCGTGAACAAGGTCATCGTAATGAGCCATGATATCGTCGGCTGTTTTCCCGGGGACATGATCGGCGATCAATTGCCACCGGTCGGCGCTGTTCTCAGGGTACAAAACCAGGCCGTGTTCGAAGAGCTTGTCGTCGTCCCTCGTCCATGTCGACATTGAATCGCCGATTGGGATTTTTTTTTTGTGTAAATGACAGAATGGCTAAAAGAGGAGGACTAAAAGAGAAAATGTGTTTTTTTTTTTCAATAATTTTTTTTCCCTTAATTAAATGTAAGTGCTCGTTTGGTATGAGAGATATGAGATAATTAATATCGAATTAATTGTTAGATGAATTCATTCCTTATTTGGTTAGACAAAGTTGTGAAATAACTTAATCCGTGTGTTCGGTAGTCTTAGTCCCCTTGTAGTTCTTGCGATGTGTTATTTATTGTATCACATTGTTTTTGTTATTGTTTATTTCTTATAGATTTTAAATTTCTTTCCTTATTAATCGCTACGTTTCCGTCACCGTTTTCTTCTTTTACTTAAGTTTGATGCACTTGAGTCTAGAATCTTTCGAAAACAGTCTCTCTACTTCCACAGGGTAGTGATTAGGTACCTGACCATCCATCTATAATTGGAATCAGAAGAAACTGGTCCGTCCAACGACTCTGACCTTGTCCCAAGAAGATCTCATTTCGCCCTCTGCGAGACAAAGATCTCGAACATCGTAGAAAAAAGTCTTAACTAACCAGTCAAGTGAAAGGAGCCCGCCTACCCTCTCCCCTTTTCCCCCCATTGCTGGGACTAGTGATAGTGTCTGTGTATACTCTACCTTTCCTGCACCCTCACTTATTAAAATTTTACTAAATACGTTATCGTTAATATATTCGAATCTTAATCGATAAAATTATTTAATATTTGTGTCTATGCAAGGTAAAAGATACTCCACGAGATCGTGACATTAGTCAAGGTACGAACAAACTATACCAACCACCTTCAACTAACAAAAAAGATATGGGCCAAGTAAATTGGATCCAAGCCCATTAGTATTTCATTACCCTTAATAAGCCCAAAGTAAACTACAAAAAAAAAACCCAAGCCCAATAAAAGTCCAGATATCCACAAACACAAAAACCCTAATATAGTCTTCACCATTGCTGAAAAAAAATCACAGAGAGTATCAGTTGCCGCACACAGACGGTGATTCTTCGACTTTCTGCTGCAAATCTCTGTAAGTTTTATAGCTTTTTAGATTTATTTGATCAAAATGCTTAAGGATTTGAAGCAAATTTTGTTTACTTTGCTAAAAGCTAACATAGTCCATGTATGAACCAATTTTTCTTCAATACAATGTGTTTTTTGTGTTTATGTGTTACTGTTTGCGAGCTATGGATTTTGAGCGGTACAGGTAATGTGTACTTGTAGGTTGACGCTAGTGTGAAAAAGATGCGTTTTTTTTCTTAACTTGTTGAGTTGTGATATGTGTTGGTGCTGATAGCTGATAATAGTGGATTAGTTGAGGTGCGTGCAAGTTTGCGCTAACATTATTATCAAAAAGTAGTATTGATAACAAGAGATATAGTGTAAGATGAATATCTGAATACTTAAATGAATGACCTGTATAGTATAGTGTGGAACAAATAAGAATGTTTGTGTAACATTATATTGCTCTATATTAGTAGATAAATTTCTGTTCTTTATGTGATCATAATGCTTTAGGATTGAGCAGAATTATCAAATTGCTAAGAGGTGTTAAAAACCTGTATGGTTTAGGGTACTGATATGTTTTCAATACAATGTCTGTGTATATGTGTTCCTGTTTGTTGCTGGCTATGGATTTATTTGAAATTTGGGAAACTAGAATGAGGAATGGAGAGTGTAGTGGCAGGTTGACTGTAGCTTTTAAAAAATATTAGTTGAATGTGGCACAAACGTGCGGTCAATGAAGTTTGATTGAACCATGGTGTACCAGGGTTCAAATCACAACAATGATAAAAACATTTTAGTTTAGGTTATCGTTTATCATTTGTTGAGTGGATATTGGTGGCGCCTGGTGGATTAGCTGAGTTGCGTGCAAGCTTGCTCAAGGAGATTGTAGTGGTAGATTTAAAAGATAGTATAAGATGGTGCTCAGGTGTGTGACTCTGCGGTCAATGTAGTTGGAATGAAATGTGGTATCCCACAGTCAAGATCATAACATTAATAAAGTTCGTGAAGATGGGATGAACAATGGTATACAAGGATCCATATCACCACTATGGTAAAAAGTACTTAGGTGATTTTTTTCATTTCTTGAGTTGGTAACTGTGTTGGTGGGAGATTGACACCCTTTGGATTAGTTGAGTTGTGTGCCGACTTGCTTGGGCAGCATCATAATAAATAAGCTATCTTGCAGCATTTTTATATCTGGAATGGAAATATTAAGTCCTTCGTGTATGGGCTATTTTATGTAGTAGTATACAAAATTGGCTGTTCAGGACATTCAGAAATTCCATTGCGCAATTTCGTAAAGTTGAAGTTCTAACAGTCATTGCAATTGGTCATATAATCAGTTCATCTGGTTTTCTGTAGAACAGAGGATAATGGTTGCTCTAGGATTGTACTTACATCCACTAATTGGGATTGCTAAATGAAGCTTAGTGTATTAACCATCACAAGATTCACAACAGATTACAGTTATAGCAGGTTGATCTGAGGACTTGAAAGGCTAATGCAATATTAGTTGCCTAAGCCGATATGCCTTTTCCGAGTCTAACCCCATGCAAATTGGTTTAGTTATGTAATTACTTTCTGCATAATACTATCTGGGAACAAAAGAGAAAATAAAAATGCGTTCTTTCAGCTTCATGCACTGGTTCTTGTTATAAAGGCTTTTCTTGACCTTAAAATCTATTTGCATACCTGAGAGCACAGGTTATACCATGTACCTTAGGAAAGTTAGCTTCTCATTTTTTGCAAGGACTAAGGAATATGCTTCACAGGTGTTTATTTTATACGTTAAGAGTAGATAAATCGCTATATTTGATAAAAATATTCAGATTCGCGTGAGAATGAACTATGTATTTTTTGATAGGTAACTAACAAACATTAATGTAACAGGTCTCGTCTAAGGAAATTCTGCAAGGATGGGTCGTGTGCGCACCAAGACCGTGAAGAAGTCATCTCGACAGGTAATTGAGAGGTACTACTCCAAAATGACATTGGATTTCCACACCAACAAGAAGATTTTGGAGGAAGTTGCTATAATTCCTTCCAAGCGTCTCCGCAACAAGATTGCTGGATTCTCCACTCACCTCATGAAGCGTATCCAGAAGGGACCAGTCCGTGGTATCTCCCTGAAACTGCAAGAGGAGGAACGTGAGAGACGCATGGACTTTGTTCCTGATGAATCTGCCATCAAGACTGATCTCATTGAAGTTGACAAGGAGACCCTTGACATGCTTTCAGCCCTCGGCATGTCTGACCTTCCAGGCGTTGTCAAGCAGGCCGCTGAGCCACAAGCAGTGGCAGCTCTCCCATCATATGGCCGCGGTGGAGGTGGTTTTGGACGGAAATACTAATAAGAGAACAGTTACAATGATCTCTTATGATCTATTGAAGAAACTTTTTGGTAGATTATATGTTTAGTTTTCCCTAATTTTTCTTTTAAAGAGTCTTTGAAACTCATTCCAGTGTTTTTGAAACATAAATGATGAACAACCCCTTTTGGTGTTAAAATGCATTTGATACATTCCCTCAATTACATTCATTTTGCTGCTGGCAAATCTTCCATGTGTTGATGGGAATATTGTGGAGTAGTAAATACTTCTTTATCAGTTAAGGTATCGGATATGGAGATGCCTTTTCAGCGTGAAATTAAATTTAGTCGGGCTATAACGTGGCTTTACCGGGGTAGGAAACAAGAAAAAACGACTACTTGATAGAGTTTTTGGACAGAAAAACCACCTATACATTGACCAGCAAACAGTACTTAATAATTAATTAGTTTCCTTAATTAATGATTAGTACTGTCCTTGAGCATGCTAACTGAGTCAGACTTATCATTATTAGTTCTTATTTAAATATTAACACACCAGCCCCAACCATACATTAGGGAGTCCTTATATGTTTTCTAATAGCGGTACTTGAATTAGTTTATATGTATCTCAATTATTTTATCGAGTATTTACTACTCTTTCTGTTCATTTTTATTTATCATATTGCTCTTTTCGAAAGTCAATTCGATTAATATGAAGACGTTTGACCAAAGTTTTTGATAAAGAAATAAAAACTTGTGAAAATAATGGCCAAAAACACTACCTTTTCAAATTATTTAACAAAATACGAAATATTACTCTGATTAAAACACTTTATTTCTCAAAATAAATTAATTCTCAAAGTTTCGCTAAATAAATTATAAATGTTAAATTCCCATATTTTTCGCTCACTTCATTTACTCTATAGAATATATTAATTGACTTCTATTATATTACTAACAAGTATGCATGAATGGAACTTGCTAACCCTTAATTGTTTAATTAATTATCAACATTAATCATACTCACTTTGTTATATTAAGGGACATAATCTCTTAATTAATTGGATATTTTGAGATTAATTAAATTTAAAATGATCTTCCCAATCATAGAGTTAAGGTGGCATGTGCCCCCTAATTGTCCATACATGCATTTGTAATAAATCATTAAGAGTGGTAGAAAGGGAACCAAAACAGTTCATATACATACATTATTTTTGCCCCTACAAAAAAAAAATTAAAAAAAATCAATATAATAAGTCCAAAAATTCTAATTAAGTTGGTTAACACAAATATTTTAATCACACGAGTGAAGGATCACCAGAAGTTTCTTGTTAATTTAATACCATTTTTTAAATATATAATTGACTTTTAAAAAAATATAAATATTGAACCATTGTTGGAACTTTGCACTTGACAAACTAAAGTCCTTTTTATTTAGGTATAACATATAAATATGATCGTTAATTTTTAGTTCATCAGATAATTATGGTTGTTAACTTTTTATTTAAGTATAATATATAAATATGATCCTTAATTTTTAGTCTATCTGATAATTATGATTGTAAAATTTTTATTTAGGTATAACATATAAATATAATCCTTAATATTTAATTCATTTGATAATTATGATTATTAATTTTTTTTAGTGTACTAGTATACATTCTAACTATTCAAAACTTAAACAGATAAATACTTCAACCCACCTAGCAAAATTGGTTTCAACTCACATAATAAAAATAATTATTTTGTGATTTATGTGCGTTACTTTCAAAATAAATCATATATATATATGTGTGTGTTTGAGAATTTAAATATAATCGAACTAATATAAATATCAAACATCAATTAAACTCAGGCAGTTGATAAGATTGCATCAAAGAGACTGATATCTTACCATAATTTTGGTGAATATTAACAACTCTCTTTCAACTAATAATGACATATTGTGTTTTCTTTTAACTTGTGGACAAACTTATGTATCTTTTTTTTTAAAAAAAAAAAATCATTATTTGTAAGTATTGCATGTGACAACATTTTCTATTTGAGATGACTCTATAATTTGATGTTTATAAATTTTAATTATTCAGAGTGAAATAGTTTTAGTGACTAAGTAGATTTCTTAATATATATATAAGTTCAGGATTTTGAGGCATAACGATTAATATAATGATTGAGTTTATAATATATATTTTCTTAAACAAATACATAGTTTTAAAATAAAATATTGAATTCTATCGAATCTGTAACTTTTGTAATAAAAGTGTACGTTTCTAATTTAATAATCTTTGATCGATAATTTATTATATTAAAAACTATGCTAAATAAAAGCTCGAATATTACTTAAAATATCTTTATATTTTTTATTTGCGTATCAATTTGTGGCCGTTGGAATGTCTCTAATAGAGTTGGGGAAACCTTATAGTATATGCCAATAATAATTAATATATAGTTTATATTTTGTGCATAATTCATTTTTTAATATAGTATTAGATTAAATTGACTTATACAAAAGTTAGTAAATTACGTAGCAATCCTAATACGATAATTTATAAATTAGAACAATAATTTGTTATAACTGATAATGATAATCTAACCATTACTTCTTCTTTTCTTTTTTTTCAAAAAAAAAAAAAAGCTATGAATTTGTTGCTAAATTAATACATTGTCCATCACTAAACATGATTATTTTCGATAAATTCAAGATAAATTGGTGCTAATATGTGTTATACTCCCTCTGTCCATTTTATTCGTCATGTTGAGAGGGTTTTTCGAAAGTTAATTTGACTAACTTTCAAAGTTAAACTGGATTATATTAATTCGATATTCAAACAAATAATTAGGTATTCAAAAACTATACGAAAAGTAATATAAATTACAATTTCTTGCATATCAATATAATGAAATATACATTGTAAAATATTGATCAAAATTCTTATCGTCCGACTCTAAAAAAGAAAACCATGACAATCAAAAGTAGACGGAGGAAGTATAAAATTAACGATGATTCTTTTTTTAAAGTTTGAGTAGACATTATTTAGTGTGAGATAATTTATATTGCGAGTCTCGATCTCCGATAGACTTGTATTCCAGTTAAAACTTTTCAATCTATAATAATAAAAAAGTAAAATTAATTTATACAGTCGATCAATCCCAAACTTATTTAGGACTGAAACGTTATTCTTATTGATGAAATTTATTCATTAATTCTATTTTTTAATAGTAAAAGTTATTATTTTTATATATAACTTAAATATATAATCAATGAACTCATTGCAAGAAGAGGAAAATATAGTGATATAAAAGCAAAATAATAATAGTACCACTTTACAATAAAATTTTGAAATTTAGTCCCTTTCTGAATTCTGACCTTTTTTATTATATTGCCAAGGACAGTCATGTGTAATATATCTTATAGTAATGTTTTTATTTTATTTTTTTTATTATTTTTGTAGGAGAGTTGTTAATATTCCTATAAATAACTCACATGATGTCTGCCTATTTTTTTCTTTTTAGGTAGTCAACTTAATTATTACCACATGACATATAAGTTTCATAATTATGACAATTAACTCACATATAACTTTTAATTATTTTTTATATATATAATTTTAAGTTAAAATAGACCTCAATCAAAAAAAGAAAAGATATAAAAGTAATTTGTTGTATAAACTATTATACATTCGCGTAGAATCTAAAAAATGATATATTTTTTTATCGTAGTTTCTACCATGACGGGATGACATAAGTATTAATAGTTGATTTCATATTTAAGTTCGTAATCTATAAATCAAAACGAAGATAACTTTTATCATTATTCTATAATTTTCCTTAGGCAAGAAGATAGGAAACTCCCTTTGGTATATTATTGTATATGATGTATAAGGACACATCTTATCACAAATCTTCCAATGAAATCTTATACCCAACATTATTATATTATAATATTTTTCATGAGTTGTAAATGAAATGAGAGATTAAGACATTAAACAATAATGGAGGCTGCAATTTGTTGGCTAAACACACTTGATTAAAAAAAAAAAGATTTTAAGTACATCATTGTTTAATTTCAGTTGACAAATAATAACTAATACTATGTCCTATTCTTTTTTTTTAAATTTAAGTCTGATGCATTTTTGGATGATCTGATATAAATGCGATAATAATTTTGAAAAGTATAGATCATGTAGGTGTTTGATATTCGTTATGAAATACGAACTGATTTAAATTCACCCCGCCTAAGTCTTTTTTTGTTTAGGGAAGAAAAGTATGATTATATTTTTACATGATATATTTAAATTTGCGCAACATAAAATTTCTTGTTAAGAATAGAAAAATACTTACTTTAAAGGTTTAAACTCATCATGATCTCTTGTTGAGAGCGGAGAATAACTTTATATAATAACAAAAATAACAAGTTAACAATATATTTTGTGTAATCTTATATAATAAGGTGTAAAAATAATTTCATATACTTTATCCTATATTTAATATAAAAATATTATTTTTGATAATTTCTCTGACTTAAAAAAAAATAACTATAATTTTTATAAATATTTATTTTTTCCATAGACTTGAAATTCGAACTTGAAACCTGAAGCTGACTACTATATTCATTTGCATTTAATACTATTAAATTCTTCAAGCCAACAATTAAATACACACATGAAATGTCCTACTACTCCCATTTCCTTTCCACCTTCCTCTCTCTCTCCCCTTTCATTATATACTCAAAACTCACAAGTTTTCATATTAAAAATAAAACTCCATTGAAACTCTATACTCAACAAGAACTTAGAAAAAAAAAAACAAAATCCCAAGTTCAAAACATTTACAAATATGGCCAAAAAATTGAAGATTTCTTCTATTTTCAAGAAAAAAGAATTAGGGCTAGCCACTTGGCAATGGCCATCTTGTACACATTCTAAGACTCTATCTTTTAGAGGTGATGACAACATTTTCAAAACTATAAATTCAGTGTTCTTTGACCCCTTTGATGGAATTGAAACTCCACAGTCTTATTCCACAAATTCATCATTAGATACTAATAGCATTTCAATAGAATCCCATGAAGAAATCATAAAAGGGGCTAGATCAGAAAGGCTATTTTTTGAACAAGTGGCTACAAGTTCAATTTTTCAAGAACCACAAGAGGAAAATCAAGAAAATGATTTGCCATTTAAAGAGAGTGTAATTTTGGCTATGGAATCAAAAGATCCTTATTTGGATTTTAAGAAATCAATGAAGGAAATGGTTGAGAGTCAAGGGATTAAAGATTGGGATAATTTACAAGAATTATTAGCATGTTATTTGAAATTAAATGGTGAAGTAAATCATGGTTTTGTTTTAGGTGCTTTCGTCGATCTACTTGTGGAACTTGTTATCCCTACTACTCCGAGTACAAATTCGGATAATTCAATTACTTCTTATTCTTCCGTTGCTTCTTCTTCTTTTTCTTGCCCCTCGTCTCCTCTGTCTTCGTTAGGACATAAAGAGACTGAGGAGCAAGAAAATGCAAAAGTCTCGTAAGACATAGTGTATCTTCTTTTATTCATAGTGAAAAGAAAATTTTTCTTCTAGTTCCGTTGAATGTTCTTACAATTCAAAGAAGGCTTGTCAGAATTTACTGAGTGAGTTGGTTCAATACGATTTCTCAATCAGAATTCAACTTTTTTCAAAAGGAAGAAAAAGGACTACTCCAACTCCATCTTAACGAGTGACACCATGCATCTAAGTACACCTTCCTTATTCATCGAAATTTATTGACTCGAGAGTCGAATAATTCAGATTCAACCTATCAAATGATTTTTCACTCCAAAAATTTAAATTTGAGGCATGTGGTTAAAAACTGAGGGGTCAAAACTATCATGTCACACCTATCAATGATTATGTAATCACATTTTGTGTGTACAATATATTATTACATATTAATTTTTATCTGTCTTACACCATGACCCAAGCAAGTTTTATCACTATGTACATATATATATATATATAAAGATGATCAATAAAATGAAAATGTTATTTTGTTTAAATATAATTTTTTTTTTACCTTTTTATCATTTTAGTGATATATTTATTTGTTTACCTTTTCAAAATTGATATTATTAATTTAAAAAAAATTGTGTACTCCATTGCATCCTACCCACCATCTAAATAAGTAAAATGAAACAAAAATATTCAAGAGGCACACTTTAAAAAGTCATAAATTGGAACAAATTAGGTAACATTAAGTGCTTTTTATCCCCTTTTTTATTCCATCAAAAAGAAAAAATACGAGCTTTCAGAATCCAATGAAATCTTTGTAAAGTCGATCATTACGAGTGTTATGATTCATTCGATTGGCAGGTCCAATCGATTCATAGCTATTATATGATATTGTTGCTGAAAATGTAAAGTTTTTATGTCACTTTTTTGTTTTGAACAAGACAATTGCAATCACCCTTTTGTTCAATAGAAACAAAAAAAAATGTGTCTACCACTCCTAAAAAAATCATAAATATATATTTGTGCGATAAAATCGTGTATAATAAATTCTTATAATTTTTTGTTTTTCTTAAAATATCAGCGTTACACAAAAAAATTTATTATCTGAATCTCCTTTATCAAAAAAAACTTACGCTATATATAAGATTAAATTTTTTTTATATATATATATAATAAGTATTGAATTCCTTTAATCACATATAATTCTACTTAAACTTATTTTAATAGTCATCAAGATGCACATAAACTTATTTTAGCTCTATTATTACATGAAAAAAACGTAGAAGAATAAGATATTCAAATGCTTTCAAAACAGTAATAAGATGAGGAAAATGCACAGATATCCCTTCAACCTATGCTCGAAATCTCAGAGACATACTTATACTATACTAAGGTCCTATTATCCTCCTGAACTTATTTTATAAGTAATTCTCTATCCCTTTTCGACCTACGTGGCACTAGCTTTAAAAAAAAAAGTCAACCAGCGTTGGATCGATAGTGCCACGTAGATCGAAAAGGGGTAGAAAATTATTAATAAAATAAGTTCAGGGGGATAATAGGATCTTAGTATAGTATAAGTGTGTCTCTAAAATTTCGGACATAAATAGAGGGGGTACTCGTACATTATCCCAATACGATATGATCACATGATCATGTGGTAGCAGTTAAGAAGTTCATGACATGATCATGTGGTGTGAATTAGAGTACAATTGTTTGTACAAATTCAGTTTAAATTAGTTTTATTTAAATGTTGCTCAAAACAATATATATATTTTGTATATTTATATATATATAAAAAACAGCCTGGAATGACAAAAATATAGGACCATCTTGCACTCTTTACAATATTACCATCAATCATCTAACATAATGTCTGCCTAAAGTACTCTCCCCACCATTATTTTGGACTATTTTTTATAGCGATCGTGTTCGAGTCAGTTTATAGACACTTTCAATTATTAATGAGTACTTATTATTATCTTTACTTGGCTCATTTTACATGCATCATATAACTCTACCTATATTGTGCATTCAATTATTTCTCTTAGGAGATTTGAAATATAAAGAAGCAAATTTATAACGAACACAAATGGATTGAGTTTCTACTATATATATACGTAACACATAATGATAACGTCGATATTTTCAGGATTCAAAAAATAAAGAGAGAAGCACACCAGGAGGCCTAGGAGGCTCGACGTTTATAATAAATACATATTCAGTGAAGGAGATTCTGATAAACCTCCGACCTCGATAACAAATGTTACTGACTTTGTATACGCAGTATAATTTTCCAACCTTACCATCACCTAGTTTATCAGTCCTATCAAGATATATAAATAAATAAAAAGAAATCACCTAATGTTTTTTTCATATCCACTGAAATTTAAACCTTGATCTATCTCATATAATGCCTATGCATTTTTTGACAAATGGGCCACCCCCATAACTCACAAGTGACATTATTTGGGAAGTATATGATATAATGCATGCATGTTTTATTTGAGAATTGAGATCCAAATGAGCTGAAATTTGTTATGAAATATAATACGGTGTCTTTTGTGAATGATGAGATAATATTATATTTTATATCAAGGATGAAACATGAGGCTTTTCCATATTTACGAAGGCACCGACCATCTTAAATAATCATCTGATATTCGATATTCACTTACCTTAACTAGTTCGAGATTGTATCATGCTTGGGATACTCTCATTATTAGGCATTTGTTCTAATGTCAACAGTCAAATCCGAAGCCTCTGACTAAAATGAAAAAATCTCATCCGTTACGATAAAACTCTTGATGGGTAAATAAAATCTTACTACTTTACTAGTTTCCATTTGTCTTCAGCCCATTATTTGAGAGTTAGTTCATGAGACTTTGCCTAAATAGTTGCTTGTATAACTTGCGAGTCACTGAACTCTAGTAGTTTTGACTTGAAACCTATAAAAGCGAGTGAAAATAATATATTTCGCTTTGTGTCCTGGAATTAGAACTCATAAAGTTGAAATCCTAAATCCGATTTTGTTAATGCTAGCACCAGACAAAAATGAGTTCTAATTTTGTCCTTTTGACATAATGAAATAATTGTACTCATCTTCACATGCTTGGAAGCTGAATAAGAGGCAGAATGAGCCCATGAAACTGACACAAAATGGCCAGGGGTTAAGTCCAACTTTCCTGTTGAAGCCAAAAGAAAACACATACAATAATAGAATTCCAATATTGAATCCACAAGTTTGTTAGAGAAAATGTTTGTACTCAAATTGTATTGTGAGTGAGTCATAATATTATGCACTCAGTACATCACAGAGGCAGAGACAGGATTAGAAACGAAAAAAGAAAATGTCGCGACTGAAAGTCAAATCTCTGACTCAATAATATGCTTGATGGGATGGTAAGTACCCTTCCATCGTTAACCAGAGGTCTCATGTTCAAAATAACAATCACTAAAAGTTCTACTTTTCATTATTGCAATGAGAGAAGAATAATTTGGTCCCTATTATCATTGAAACCTGATGGGGACACTAATACTTTCTCCCTTTCTAACCACAACTAGCTTCTAACAAGAAGATATGGGGTATTAAGAAATTGACAACCAAACATGAGAAGTGCAGGATGTCCGACAAAAGACGTTAGAGAGTAAGTCAGGAAGTAGCAAGTACCTAGTGGAATAGTTGAGGTGCACATGAGCTGAACAGGACACGGGACACTACCATTATTAGAAAGAGAGATAGAAGAGCAACAGTGACCTAAACAGTCCTGCGATCACTTCTCAACCTGCAACTACACAAGGACGTAGCAGGTACCTAGTGAATAGTCGAGGTGCACGCGAACTGACCTAGACACGGGACATCACCATTATTTTCATCTATGTTTTGATCTTCTGATTACTAAAACGAAAATTCAATGCAATAAAGAAGTTGACATTGTTTCAACAGGACTACCTAATGAGACTCACTTAATTTTCACATAAATCATCAATGTAGAGGGTTAAGTATACTAAAGCTTCACTTCTTATTCTAGTTACTCATGCCTAAATCTAAACATCCTATAAACAGAAGACCGTTTACATCTATATCGTAACTTAATCATATCCTAAACTCTAATCTTCTTTGTGATTAGATCCATTACTCAGAAAAGATCAAGGCCAGTCAGAGGAGCATCTCTCTGGTTGATAACTCCTTTCTTATTGACTGTAGAAACTCAAATATCAATTAAAAACAAGAAATTTCAGTCCCATTCAGAATAAATCAAAATTCTCCCTGCTATGAACTCAAAAGTTTAATATGGTAGACGTGCTGATAAAATAATCAAGAAGCCCCCTTCAATTGACATGTGTTCAAAAGAAATCTTTTCAAGATTTAAAGTTAAAAACAAGCAAAGTTTACAACAGCAAAAATACTTGTTGATTTATATATAGCATGACAGCAGGTACCTCATTGCCATGCTGACCCGAAAACTTCCACCAACTGTAGATCTCTCATCCACTGTCTGATCTTAGTAGACAGAAATCATTGACTTAATCAGAATCCACAAAGTATTCTCCTTCATCAGATGGCTCATCAAAGGAACGCATGTCAAGCTGGTAGCGAAGGATTCCTCCAATGCCACCAAATCCTCTGCAGAACTGTGACCCCTCTTGAGACCTGTTAGTGACAAACTCAAGTGAACAACCAAAAGTTTTGTATTCATTGGCAAACCACTCCAACAGGGGCATTTTATCCTGAACCTCCAATTCAGCTGATGTGGCAGAATCCTTAAAGTTACTATTATCAGCCTCTTGCTCCTTGTTTAGGTGCTTAATGACGATCTCATTAGTCACACTGTTTTTCAATACGTAACGGTTTATATCAAGATTTTCCCACACAATTAGAGTTTCAACAGCTCCCATCTCCAAACCTTTTATTGTGTCATCCACACCGAATACATACTTGCCAGTATCTTGACTGATTTCCTCAAAGAATTTCCCTATCAAGCGCTTTTCTTGTATAAACTTCACATTTGCCAGTATCTCTGCAGACAGCTCGATTGCCTGAT